CGCATCATCTCTGTATATTATTAGAGTTTATTAACATTTTTGCATTTTGCGAAAACGGATGGATGCCCGTCGTAGAGGCAATTTTGAACTTTTTCATCATCGAAACTCAACGGCATATCGATGAACAGACACGGGGGCAGACACAGACACACACAGACATACAATTGTATGTCCACATATGTGTGTTTTTACATATATACTGAGACACGTAGTCGTCAACAAACAAAAACCGTCAACGAACGGCAACATAGACCAAAAAAGATTGGTTAGAAAAAAAAAAAGACGTTTGATCTTGCCAACTTCAACAATACGTAAACTCTTCTGCAAAATTTTTTTTGCAAAAACACGTATACATATAAAAGTGTTTTTTCTTTCTTTTTTCAAGAATAATTAGTGGATGAGAAAAATGGCTCATTCAAAATTAAACACTGCCCAAAAAATCACTGTTGTCAGCATTTATGAAAATCCAAGCGCCTAAAAGCAAATGAAAAGTGAAACAGGAAAAAATGAAGAGATGAAGAGAAAAGCGAGAAAAAAAAAAGTAAAAATGTATTTACTCCATACAAGAATTTTCCAGAAAATAATTGACAAATTTGAAATTTTTACCATCTTTGAAGGTAGTTTTACAGATGATATAACAACCAAAATTAGGATACGTTTATCTAGCGAAAGAAATTTTTCTCATTTTTAATGATAACCACAGAAGTACACTAACTACATAGTTGATAAAAGTTTTTTTATTGAAATAAAACGAGGAAAAAAAGTCTTTTTTTTTCCTTTTTTCAGAAAACCTTAAACGATATGGAATTAAAATAGGCAAACTGTGTGACAGAATACGTGAAATTTTTTTTTTTGTAAATAATTTTCAGCAAAAACGCCGGAATGACCTAAATAATCCTCAGCAGTTTTTAGGTTTTTTCAAATATCTTAACAGCCCCTCGCATTATAATTCCAATAGAAAAAATTGTTTTTACCTTAATTTTATTATAAAAACCCCGTTCTTTTCAAAAACTCGGATTTATTATTTAAACTGTATTTTTCCGGAAAAAAATTGCTCCCCTCCGTTACAATTTGTCTGCAGCAAAGTTCAAGCCGTTTATGTCAGAAATAGCAGAAGAAGTTGCAGACAAACAACCGAGAAGTTTTTGTCCCAAATTAACCGTGAACAAACCACCATAGCCGGTTGAGCTGCAACTACAGGTTGGTTTTTCGCATTTAGATAAATCACTAACATTTCGTTCTTGCTTCCTTGTTCGGTTCTAAAATTGTCTCATAGACAATACTTCAGAAGCAGTCACTCAACTGACTGTAGTACCTGGAACATTAAACCGACGAAGGAAAATCATAAACCGCATTACCGTGAAAAGCAGACACCACCAACTCTCCAGTGTCCGAGTGTTTGATTTGCATTATTTGCTCGGGTTCATCCTGGTTATATCACTGATCAACAGTAGCGATAATAAACGATAACTACAAAGAAAGAAAAAAAAAAAAGAGAGATGGTTGCCTGACATCTTCTATGCTGTTATCGAATTTTATGATACAATTATTTTAGCCTTATTGAGACGTACATTAGTGTACAGCCCAGAGAAATAAGGTTGTCAAAAAAATTATTAAGTTGAAAAAAAAGATTATAGAAAAGAAAAAAAAAAAACAGAGAAAAAACAAATTAAAAGTCATCATAACTTTTTCACGATCAACATTTAAAATGCTTGAAAAAAAAATCTTTTCCTTAAAAAAAAAAAATTTTTTTTTTTTGGAAATGTAAAACAAAAATGTGTTAATTTGAATCACAGAAAAAACTGGTTTTTAGACGACAGAAAAAAAGAAGAAAAAGAAAGATGGTTTGTTGGATGGGTTTTTTCGCTATACTTTAGGATAAATATAAGTAGTGACAAACAGCAATAGAGAGATGTATAATGACAGTAGCATTGTAAAGTATGAAGCGTGACTAAGGTCAGCAAAAATATAAACATGCAAATCCCTGAAAACAATGAGTAGTAACCGTTTTCGTGGGCACTTTATCGGTTTCTGCTGAAATTCTGCTCCTCAGTTTTCCTTCTTTCTTTTTTCCCCATCCTTTGTTCTGTCCGGGCGGACCTGTCTCTCTGTGTGTTTCTCTTCTCATTTTTTCAACCATTTCCTAAATATAATGAAAAAAAAACTTTTATATTCTTAGTTGAATAAAAAAAAAAACAACTTTTTAAACTAGTTTAATTGCAGATTTGATCTGCTGCAAAAGATTAAGTATCACTTATATGATAACCGATACTATTGGTTTATACCAAATACTACAGTCAACGCTAATCTTAAGCAAATTATAAGTAATTGAAAGATTTTGCACATTTAAACATATTCAATCAGAAACTTTCTTTAGCTTTTGAAAGACTATTATTCTGAATATAGGTGAACGATTTTAAGGTATAAGATAAATTTATTGCTGCAGTTCTATGACGAGGGCAAAACTGGACTGT